GAAGGAAAAAGACAAAGGGGCACAAAGAAATTAAAAAAAAAAAAAAAAAAAAAAACTATATTGGGGCTGTGAGTATAGCCCGGGGGGTAAAATGTTTGCCTACAATATTCTCTAGGTTCTACTTCATCATTGCACAAATATTAATGATTACAAAACCCACAATGACCCTCACTAGCACCAGACTCAAATGGAGTAACTGAAGCACAAGTGTGCAAGAGAATAGCTGTTTATCAATAACTGGCTGTGTGAGTAAGTACATTTCTCCTCACTTTTTCACCTGTCAGACTGGTACCCAATCCTTGTACACATTCTCATCTCAAGGCCTTTCTGATCCATTGTTGGGAGCCAAAGATCTCAGGGCTTGGCATGAGATCCTAGGCCATGCTTGGCAGGCCACATAGTTGTACATTAACTTTTACATAGCAGCTCCTTAGAACCTCAGCTCAAGAAAAGAAACAATTGACCCAGTCCTCCACCCACAGGCTCAGTCACCTAGGCAACCCTTCCTGGACCTCTTACTCATGAACTCTTTACCCTGCCAAACATCCTCTTTATGGCTTCCTAATATCCTGCCTACACTAACACCTGGCTCACAAACAACCCATTCTGCCCCTCCCATATCCTGCTCTACTGACTATATAAGCTGGCCTGAGAAAAATAAAGTTTGCCACTTGATGAGAATCCTGTCCTGTGGTGGTTCTTTCTGCGTCTCTTGTCCCCATTCCCCATCCCTGACTCTCTTGCCCCAGGTTGACGTCCTGCAGGAGGGACAGTCCATGGTTCTACACGCACCTCCCCGCCCTGGCCCCAGGCGTCCACATGCTTGTCATGCATTTCATCCCACTGAATGTGCAAGAGTCACTTTCCCAGGTTCATGTACCTTATGTTTATTCACTGCTGGGTGTTTCACTGGCTTTATTATGTCTCTTCCTTATAATGTCAGCTTTGACTCTGCCATCTATTCTTTTTTAAAAAATTTATTAGAGGCAATCAATGTGGCAGTGGTTTTGGTGTCTTATACAACTAGTACCATGTAAGGAGAACTCCTCATAATGTTCAATATACACTAGTAGCTGAATAGAAATCAATCTTTTAAGAAATTTGGGGGGTACAGGGTCTTACTATGTAGCCCTGTCTAAGCTAGAACTCACTACGTAGCCTTTGCTGGGCTAGAACTCTTCTATGTGGACTATGTTGGCCTCAAATTCACAGAGATCTTCGTGCTTCCACTTCTCAAATGCTGGGATTAAAGGCATGTGCTACTATACACAGTTTTTAAAAAATGTTTAGTTACATGTATTTATTTATGCTGTAGAAGGGAGAGAGGGATGTGTGTGCCATGGCACATTTGTGGAAGTTAGACACTAATTTTTGGAAGTTGGTTCTCTCCTTCCACCATATGGGCCTCAGACTGGGATGGACCTCAAGTGGGCCAGCTTGGCTACAAGTACCTTTACTGCTGAGCCATCTTGCTGGCCCAAAACCCACCGCTTTAAAATTTAAACATATTTATACCATTTCTTCACCCAATTTGTTTATCTAGGAAAAAATATGTGTGTGTGTGCATTTGTATGATGTGTATGATACTTTTCATACACATACATTTCCACAAAATAAATAGAATCTATAAATCACGAAAAAGAAAAGTCAATATGATTACCAACAACAATGACACAGGAATTCTGCTCAACCATGATACAGCCTCACAAGGTAAAATCATGATTTGCATAATTTATATTTGGAAAAAGCAATATATAACAATTCTTTAAATTCTTCAAACCTTCTCTGACACTGAACTCTAAAACACAGTGTGTCAGATGGGACCACACAAAGCATATCAGCAGAAAACAACAGGTTGGTGACTTCAACAACTGGGTAGTATAATAAGGACAAACACTTCCTGTACAGTTGGGATCTTGTTTGGTTTTGTAGCCACTGTCAGTAAAAGCTAGCCATGCAACAGGTTTAAAGTAATATGAATTAGATGCTGTGAATATTCAACGCAAACTTGATGGGGGAGGTCCTTCTGTATGCTGTGAATATGTGTTTCTCTTATGGGTTGATGAAAAAAAAGCTGTTTCGGCCAATGGACACACAGGACATTGCCAGGCAGGAAGTATAGGCAGGGCCAAGAGACTAGGAGAATTCCAGAAAGAATGTAGAGGGTGAGTCACCAGAGAAATGTCATGTAGCTGCCAAGGGAGCAAGAGTCTGGGCATGACCAATAAGCAAAGACCATGTACAAATACATAGATTAATAGAAATGGGCTAATAATTGTGCAAGAGGTAGCCAATAAGAAGCCTTAGCCATAGGCCAAACATTTTCTAATTAATAGAAGCCTCTAAGTATTTATTTGGGACTAAAATGATGCAGGATCTGGTGGGTTAGAAACTCTATCAACACAAACCCAAAGACCTGAGAACAATCTGTGCTATTACTGCAACTACATAGGAAAATAAGTATGTGAAAAAGGAGATACTTGGTTGTGGGTGTGGAAACCAGGATTCACTAGACTCAGTATAGAAT